TATGGATTTCAAAACCTAATTCTTATTCGACAAATAATTTTTCCAAAACTGCTTCAATATTTTCCTGACTTTACTGACTTGTATACACATCAACATTGCTACTTTTTCTCCTCTACAAGATGGCATAATTAGAATTTCAATATGAGATTTCGTCACACCACCGTAAGCTTTATTTATGCTCATATTGGATTTTTGCGCAGATGAATAAGAGTTTTTAATTCTGATTTCAAAATTGTGTAATATGACATTTATTGTCAAACCTTAGTTATTCAAAAAAACAGAAGTTCCTAGGTAGGCCTGGAAATTATCAGTCAGTCATTTTGTTTCATATACCAGACCAGACCTCAAATTGAACATAGCAACAGAGTTTGCAGATAGCCGAAATTTAAGCAGCAGTTTGTCTACCTATGGAAGGCTTCAGGGATGCATAGAGCGTGATGGTAAGCATTTCGAGCATTTATGGGGGCATTAAAAACTTTCTTTTTTAAATCGATCCTTTTTAGGGCCTCAATTATGATAAGAAATTCCAGAAAAAATAGTTTAACAGAATAAAAATGTAAGGGATTTCCGTATAAAATTTTATTTGGCCTAAATTTTAGGTTAGGACCCAGATATCGACATGCGGTTTTCGCGAGCTTGCTTAGTCATCATTTAAGTACTTTTTCATTAAAAAAAATCATACCAATGCATTCAATTTTTTTGAGAAAATTTCCATTTCTGACGGAATGTCAAAAAAGGCCACATGTGAAACTAACAAAACTTCAAATATTATAACATTTGTAGGCCGAAAATAGTTCTTTTTAACCAGCCGTTTCGTAGATACTGGGTGTTTTTTACGGAAACCTTTAAATACCCCCACCACTTTTTAGAGATACAGCAAAAATTGTCAAACAAAAAAGTTCAAAATATCCTCGACTCTAGAGATCAGGTATTGTTTTGTTAGGTTATTTTCCAGGCGTTTCTCTTAGCCGTTGTAGTAATAATTGTTTTTGTCGCAAATGGATAGGTTCCCAGGTACAGGATCTCGCATTCTTAGTTGGCCACCCTGTAGAGGAGAATGAGTAACAATACCAACATGCAATTTATTTTGAAATCTTATCTCAAATAAAGTCATTTTGGGATAAATCTGGAATACGAAACAAATGGATATTTGATAATTTTGATAATTTCGAGGCCTACCTAGGAAAAACTGTTGTTTTAAATAACTAATGTTTGGCAATGTCAATGTATGAATGTATTATACAATTAAAAACTTTATTCATCTGTGCAAAAAATCTTGTAGAGAAGAAAGTGACAATGTCATGTGCAATTTATTTTGAAATCCCACTACAAATATAGTCAGGGTAAAATTAAAACGATTTTGGGAAAATTCCGTTTTTCCGTCTCTCTCCGGGAGTGTTGTAAATTTCGTAACTTTCTATGCGGCATTTTGTTGATTACCTGAATACACAAATTTGCTCTCATTTAAGCGACTTGGTATCTCTTACATTTTCCGAGATCCCAAGGGTCAGGATCGAATTTGAAACACCCTGTATACATAATAATGCCTTTCCACCTAAGTGTACTATTTGGTACCTATACGAACATGTAATTGGGTGCCGAAAAGAATCTCCTTGTATACGTACGCTCCGACTTTTCAATTCAAAGAGACTCCGCGCCTGCAGCAGTGTGCGATGTGTTTGCTGCTCTCTCAACACGTTTCGGAAATATTAAGGAAAAACCATCTTCAGGGGAGCCCCTTTAAAAGACCGTAGCGCCCTTAGGGGACGGGTGTCGACCTATAGTTATATAAACTTTTCTTCCTATTTTAAGTTCTAGAAACCGCTGGTAGAATATTGCACACTTTTTTCGGGACACCCTGTATATTCCAGAAGTCCCATACTGAACAATGATTTATCGTATTAAAGTTCACAAATATCCCTTATGCCAACTGATAAGACTAAATACTATCCGAGAATTAGTAAACAATTGAACCATACCTTTGCAGTAGTGTAATCCACGACCTTTTTCGTAGTGAGATCGCTCTTGTTGCCTACAAGCAGCTTGTTAACGTTATCGCAAGCATAGCGATCGATCTCTTCCAGCCACTGCTTCACGTTAGTAAAGGAATCATGGTCGGTGCAATCGTACACTACGATGATACCATGTGCCCCTCGGTAATAGCTGGAAGTGATGGTCCTGAATCGCTCTTGACCTGCGGTGTCCCACTTGAAAGAAACAAGCGTCAGTCATTAGTGTTAGCTAAATAAAAAGAAGCTCGGGCATAGATACAGGGTATATCGCATCAGAACAAAAAGCAATAAACAAAGGTTATTTCCGTTTAGAGTAAGAAAAGTTCAGCGGTACTAGCGGCCTAAAGCATGTATTTAAGTGAGAAAAATGAGATTTTCAAAAAGAAAGTTGTGAGAAATAGTGATTTTATACATAAAAAAGCGAGTTAATTTTCTGAGGAATTGAATACCATAATGCCAAATTTAAATGGATAATATATATATATATATACATATATATATACATATATATATATATATAAAATAATGTGTGGAAAAAAACGATAACTCTTATAAGGACTTTCTTACTGTTTTATTGACATATGCAAAAATAATTATTTATATGTATGCATATTTTGAGATCAAATGCATACGATGCATAAAAGAAACATAAAAAATGACTAACTCTTGTAAATACGTAGCTATTCTTACCCAATCGATTGAACCTAAATTTTAGCGAACTATCTAATCTTAAAAGGTTGAAATTTGATAGAGATATTATTATGGGTGGCTCAACGAAAAGGTCGCACCCCCATTTGTGACTCTTCTGGTATATTTTGGGGCACGTCAATTTTGATTTCTAGGGGGACATCTCGACCAGTTAGAAATGAATCCGCAGAAATAGCAGTTTTGAGACACGTAGCACTTTACAACACACAAAGCACTCATGGACTTTCTACATCTTCAGGATTTACACGCTCAACAGTACAAAGACTTTTGAAAGACAATAAATTGCACCTGTACAAGATAAAACAATGAAGCTGATTTTGATAGAAGGTTGTAGTTTTGCGAATTAATATCCCAACGTTTAATGCAAATCTATTATCCAATAATTGTTTTTCGGATGAGTGTACGTTCTATTTAATGGCGCTGTAAATACACATAATTACAGAAATAATAGAAAATGACAATTGTAATGAAAATTATATTCATTTTCAACAAGATGGTGCACCGCCGCACTATGCGGCTCCAGAACAACAGTTTTTGGACACCCATTTGCCGAATCAGTGGATCGGCAGACGAGCCCCCAGCGAGTGGCCGCCGAGATCTCCTGACCTAAGTCCTTTAGAATACTTTCTTTGGGGACATTTGAAAAGTAAAGTTTTTAGTACGAAGCCAGATTCCATCCAGCCAGATCTTCGTCAGCGGATTACAGCTGGATGTAGACAAATAGCTGAAGACATGCTTGAAAATGTGAGGAATAGATTCGAACAAAATTTGTATAACATCGAAGTAAATGGACACCACTTTGAGCACTTATTACCACATTGACCTATCTCTTTATAGCGAATTAATTTTTACTTTATCTTTAATGTGCGTGTATACTGTAAGTTTTAGTTTGTTTTTTAATTTTTCGAATACTTGTTTTTAATTTTAAAGTGAAGTCTTGTTACTATGGGAACTATATTGATTATTATTTTTACGATATAAGCCCTTATCACAATTTCTAGAATTTTATTATAAATAGCTTCACAACGATTGAAGATAGGTATAAACTTTATTATGCAAAAATTACTAAGAACATCCTAGAGAATCTAAAAATTGAAAAAAGAGGCTTTCCATTTAAAATCTAAAGTGTAAGTTATGTTTGGATCACCCTGTATTGTACGGCTATAGATGAAAAGGCGTCCCCCTATAAATCAAAATTGATGTGTCCGAGCGTTTTTCGAAAAATATACCCGGAGAAATTGGGCCACCCTGTATATGAGTTTTTTGCACAATAGTTGACTAACATAGTCATCAGACCATAAGACTAGAGTACTTGGCATCAGGAATCATGTGAGGCTCTATTCGATGGGTTCTCATGACCACTTCCTGGATTCATCATCAGATCATGCCCATGTCATAATAATATTGCATTGTCAATTGTCATATTAAACGTCAGCCATACTGTATCAGAATGACTCCACTTTGCTTATTGTTTTTTTAAAAAAATTCCTTTCATTTGATATCCATAGTATCGGGGTGACTATGGAAATTATAAACGCCATTTTGCGGAGGTCGACATATTTGATTTGAAATTACATTTTGTTTATTGTGTTTCTCTCAAGCCCTTTCATCTGATGCCCATATTATAAGGGTGATTATAGAAATTATAAATCTCCAAAATGCGGCCTCCGTCATATTGTATATAGAATTACGTCAGTTTGCTTATTACGTTTCTCTCATCAAGCTCTCTCATTTGACTACCCATATTATATATTAATAAAATGATAAATCGCCATTCATTGTGTATTTTCACTCGAACCAGACAATGATACAAAATTTCAGCTCGACTTTGTATTGTATTGCTTACCGTTTCCGAATTTGATATCCCCAGTGCGTACATATAGAGTGCTTTTAGTAAAGTTGAATTAAAATTCGACGTATATTTCGGCTAATCCTAGTAATGTTTCATGTAATACATATTGGCTCAGCTTGGGGAGAGCCCTGTACATGAACAACTTTGACATTGTTAATTGTTATAAAATAATTATATTAATTTAATTTCATGGGGTAGAGAGGAGGACAGCCCCTTCGGAAACGTTCATAAACTACAGTATGTACAGCGAGAGCGAAAATAGTGATAAAATGGACCGAATAAAGTGAGTCGCCTGCATCCCTGTGAATGCCTATCACCCCTTTCAATTATGGTTGTATAATAGTTAATGAACCATCAAAAATATACTTACAATTTGCAATTTAATAGTTTTTCCATCTAAGTCGATAGTTCTGATTTTCTGAAACAAAAATAATTTGTAAAGAAACACACAACCATCCCATTAAATCTAGACAGTTTAATGCCCTGAACAAATAAGCGTATGAACCGAAAAGATACATACTTCAATAAAGATGTATGTAATGGGCTAATGACTTCACTATTCATTTAATAAGTATTAGTATTTGATTAACGATAAATGCTCGGAATATTTGAAAATGGAAAAGATATGAATATAATAATGAATTATGACTAAACTCACATCTAGTGACAATATTTTATCAGCGATGGAATGTGGCTCATCAACAGATCAACAGAAATATCAAATTCTACTTAGTAACATAGTAACATACAATAAGAACAATAAATAATATAATAAAATACTTACAAAGTCTACCCCAATGGTACTGATGTAGCTTTCCGTATATGTATCATCCTAAAAAGTAATTATATTTCAATATATAATACATAGAAGGCGAAAAAAATTCGTAAAACTTACCGCAAACCTGAGCAGTAAACATGACTTCCCTACGCCTGAATCGCCAATAAGTAGAAGTTTAAATAAATAATCACTGGAAAAAAATATATGTGATCAGATGTTATGAAAAAAAAAATGTAAATCACGGTTAAATATTTCCTCTCGATTTATCATCTAAGTAAAAAAATTTGTTTTTGAAAATATGTCATAATTCCTTATATTATTTAGTTTTTAACTTATGTAATGGTGTAACTGTTAACTGTGACTATATATGATTTTTTCTTTAAATTAAAAAAATGCCTATTCTTGGCATAATAGATTTTTCATTATTGTTACTCAACAATGTTTATGTCTCCCAGATTTGGTATTATAATTTTGTTTGGCCCTGGTTGGTATGAAAAACAGCTTTTAGCTGACACCCGCCAGGTTAAATAAAGGCTATTATTATTATTATTATTATTATCTTGTCCACTTTTTATCACTAATGGAAAGTCAAAAATAAAATAAAAAAATAACGTAGTTCCATCATTCGGCTGCTCCACCTCTCAAGTGGTTTAAACCGATGAAGTCTAGGTCCCGTGGCACTTATACAGGGTGTTAAGTATGTACCATAAATTTAACATTTCTTTGAGTCATTTTTAAGACAAAAAGTTTATATAAACATAGGTCCGCAAATTCTTCGTTCTCAAGATACAGGGTGTTAAAATTAAAAAAAAATGGGTTTTCGTTAATATGTTGAATATCATTTACCTAATTTTGTTGTGATTCGGCGGTAGTATTTATAACATTAAGGAGCTAATTTAGCCATCTCTTGATTAAACTAATCAAGTCCAGTATCTTCTCGAGCGGCATCTGAACGAATTTTGGGACAAAAAATGTACACCACTGCCTTTTGTACAATTTTTATTACGTTCTTACGTTTTTATTTTTCGTATCTTGCTTAGTTTTCGAGAAAAAAATAGTCCTCTTAATTCCATATCCCTGATCCACAAGGAATATGGGAAAAAGTTTCTTTTGGAAATCATTATTTTTGTTTATTACTACTTATGTTAATGTTATTTGTTGTTACAATATTAGAAATTAAAAATTATAAAAAAATATATTAAAAAAGAAACGTTGTATGGTCCATGTATTTGCAATTAAGTGCACTTTTTTTCTAAAGAAATATACGAAAAAAATTCAAGAGACAAAAACGTGGTACTTCTGTTTGTTTAATCCAAAGATCATAATAAAAATTGCATAAAAGCCAGTGGCATACATTTTTTGTCGTAAATATTCGTTCAGATCCCGCTTAAGACGCGACTGGACCAGGATATTTACGAAAAATCTTTTTTTTATCTTAGTACCATGAATCTTGAAAATGAAGAATTTGCGGCGGACTTGTGATTTTATAAACTTTTTGTCTTAAAATACTCAATCAATAGTATGTTAAATTGATGGTATATAATTCATTAACACCCTGTAATCAAACCAATAAACCCATGGTTCAAATGCAAATACGAATCAGTTAAGTTCGCTTTACACTCCACCACTTTCAAAAAGTATTTCTTGTTAATACGACCGTCAATCTTATGGCTAATAATACTTTTGAACTGGTTAAACAAATATGTGGTAGGCTGTCTAATAGCAATCCTAGTTTAATGTTTTTCTCTATTTTCCAGCATTAATCTTAACTGAAGTATATATAAGGGCTTATTGTTCTAGATATGTGCTATGAATTGTACAGGATCTAGGGTTAACCATTTAAAAAGTAGAGGTCTGATAATGGACCTTGAAAACCAGACTTTTAATCAGCGATAAAAAATGACGTCAAGTAGATTGACACCCTCCCTTCCCACGAAATTTTGGACAAATGGACCTTCAAAATGCAGCATGAACAACTTTTCTACAGACTGGTATCTATCTAAGTTATTCGACGGTTATGAAATTCCTTGTACCTTGATATAAGATCGCAGAGTAAAATGAGTATCAGTAAAAATAGGCATTGCTGATTTTGAGGAATTGAAATGATGAACTTTGAATATGCAATATATATCCGAGTTAACTTTCGTATGTTCTGGTACCTTTTATGTTGGTTATGGAAACCCTTAAATCTGCTGATTTTATAGAATGAATATACGAGGCTACTTGACTCACATCTAATTTCATAGATTAAATGAATACGTATGTCTTACGGTATTAGTTATTTTACCCCCACAACACTGTGTCGAAAGAGTTTTTAGTAACGTACTATATGTCCTAAAAGTTTTGGCACATAAGTCATTGGCTTTAATTTTAACAAACACAAAATAATATCAAGTTGCCTTTGGAAACAATAGTTTGTTTACTTACTTTACTGTCAGTTGACATTAATTTCTTTTGAGGTTTTCGCTTGAAGATGTCGGACAAAATAGAAATAAGAAAAAGTTAAGTACAAGTTGGTTGGGCGGGTGCCCAAAGCTGAAATCTGTCGAATATTCCAAAATGACAACATTTCACGCAGAACCATTTATCGAACAATAGCGGAGTGCGAGCAGTGGATACCATGTCTGAATCTCCCAAAAAGTGGAAGACCACGTGAATTTACTGCACAGAGGCCACAGAGATTGGTGAGAAGAGCAAAAAATCAGATTGGAATGTCAACAACGAGACAATATCTTTGGAATTGAGGAGGAATGGTCTCAAGTATCGAAAGAGACTTAAGTGCCCCAAATACTCTCAAGTGCAACTCCTTTCTTATGGCGGATTTCCACCAAACAGACAAAACAGCAACAAAACAGAAACTCGTGTTTATCTCAACAAAACTGCAACTTTTCACCAACATTTTGTAGACAGGAGTCGCCGGCAACTGTTTTTGTTGTGTTTTCGAAGTCCCGGTCGAAGGCGGTAACTTCAAAGGGTTTTCGCGCAACTAGCAACACAGTTGGTTTAGTGGAAACAGCTTGCGACGCGTCTCTGTTTTGTTGTAGTCTGTTGTAGTGTGTTGCAGTGTGCGCAGTTTGAATTTATTTGTGCTATTGAATACCTAGCAGTTAATTGCAGGATATGACTGAAGAAAAGAAAAAGTGGACCACAGAAGAAGTGGGAAATTTAATAGAAACTTATCGCGATTGTCCAAATTTATGGAACCCCACAAACCTGGAGTATAAAAATCGAGTGAAAAAAATGGACACTTACAAACAAATAGCTCATGTATTTAAAACAACTCCACATGAAATAGAGAGGAAAATAAAAAACTTAATTACCCAGTACCAACGGGAAAGGCGCAGTTACAAAAAAATGAAAAAATCAGGAGCCGGTCATGTTTTCAAGGCAAAATGGTTTGGTTATAGTGCCATGAGCTTCCTTCACGACAAAAACAAACCTAGGAAAGGAACACAGATTGGCGTAGAATTGGAGGTGAGTAGGTATTTTGTTTTTTTTGTGTTTATTTAAAACTCTAGCATTTTAAGAAAATTTACAACAAATAATTAAGCATACTGTGATTGCCATGGTACTTGTCCTAAGTCCGATATGAAATATTCGCTGAATTCGTCTCTAATTTCTCGGGCTTCTTGAATTGGTTTCCTTGCTATTCGTCTTATAGGCAAAAGTGAGTGACATGGTTCCGGATCATTTCTCCACAATCCTCCACTTACAGTACCAGAATCTAAGTGTTCGAAATCAAAGGAGCCTGGCGGTGTATATCTATCTTTCGATTCCACATCTCTACGTAAATAATTGTGCAGCAAAACACATGTTTGAACAACTTTCTCCACTTTGTCCGGCTCTAGTAACATAGGCTTGCGAAGGACCCGAAAAACAGATGCTAGTATTCCGAATACGTTCTCGACGACTCTTCGAGCTCTACTTAGACGGTAATTAAAAATTCGTTGTCTTGACCCACGTTCTTGGTGCCCAGCATACGGCTTCATTATATTTTGTGACAAGGGGAATGCATCGTCTGCTAGTAAGACGTATGGTACCAGTTTTTCTCTTCCAGAAAGTGCCGCCTTTTTTGGCAGATTGAGCATATCTCTTTCCAATGCTTTGGCAAATCCAGTATTTTTGAAAACTCCTCCGTCTGATATTCGGCCCTGGCACCCAACGTAAACAAAAATAAAATTGTAACTGGCATCGACTATGGCAAACAATACAATACTAAAAGTCCCTTTATAATTGAAGAATTCACTTCCACTGTATTTTGGGGATTCTATGATTACATGTTTTCCATCCATACTGCCTATACACATCGGGAAGTTCCACATTGTATTATATCCATTTGCAACTTTTTTCCAATCCTCTGGATTTGCGGGAACCTTAAAACAAAAAAATTCAGGACCATGATCAAATGTAAGAAGGAAGAATCCCGAAAGGACACGATATCTGATTTCTTGATATTGGATTTCAAACAACTGATATTATTCCTAAAATAATCTTCATTTTAAACTATACAACCCACATTTTATGAAATTCAGCCAATTCAATGCGCACTCTATAATTACAGGGAAGTGATTCGTCAGATGAAGGTGATGAAGAAACCCAGTCTGATATGCAAAGCACAACCGAAGCAACGAATGAGTATGAAAGTGAAAGCGAAGTTTCAGAATGTCAGTTAACTGAGGAAATAGGCACACCTGCAGCAAATACAAGGGAAGAGCCTAAAATCGCTGCTGCAGCGTCAGTTAACAAAAATGTTTCAGTTGAGAATACAGAAAGTGCAGAATATTTTCAGAAACAAGCTTCCCAGAAACCACATGTTTTTAGTACTCCAAAAATTGGCTCAAGAAAGAAAAAACGTGTTGAGTCTGATGACAAAAATGAGACTACGGAGGTCTTTCAGATGATGAAGTCAGTATTTGAGAACAGGCAAGTAACTACATCAAGGCGCGACGAATACGACGTGTTTGGGGAAATGGTGGCCTGCAATATCAGACATCTGCAAACTGAACATGCTAGAGTTACTGTGCAACACAAAATAAATAACCTACTATATGAGGCTCGAATCGGTTATTACAATTATCCAGAAACCATGCGAGTCGTCGTGCCATCACCTTCACCTAACAGCAGTCACACTGTATCATCTGACACCCAGTCGGCAATGACGGAGACGGAAGTACAACAAACTTGGAGTGA